GAGAGAGAGAGAGAGAGAGAGAGAGAGAGAGAGAGAGAGAGAGAGAGAGAGAGAGAGAGAGAGAGAGAGAGAGAGCATCCACCCTCAGACCAACGATGCTCGTGCCAGATACTGTGATTGTATCCTCCTGATGCATCACACTTGGCACAAGATGGTAAAGCCCACACAAGGAGAGAAATAAGGCTTGACAACACATTTAGGGTCCTGTAGACTTCACTTTCTTGCTTGCCATTATGCTCCCGTTATAGTCAATGTTGGGCTTACATTCAGTGCACCTAGCGCCCATGAAAGGCCATAATTGTCGATTCCCCAAGTTGTGAACTGCAGGGTGTAAGTACCAACTGGCGTCCCCACGAGGTCTAGCACAACGGAGCCCGAGAATGCCCCATTTGGCGCCACTTGGCAGCGGATGACGCCTTCACAAGATGTCGTCTGCCTTCTGATGGAACTCTCTTTCCCTCTCAATACTATCGCATTGCGCAAAGCGAGTCCTGCCCGAGGCAAATACGTATTCGCAAATCTGACAGCAGCAGCGCTAATCCTGTCTCTGCACACAGCTTCGTCTGCAAAGTGCTTGGGATCATTCTTCGCCCTCGTCAGACACGAGAAAAGGCGCTTGTACACTTCGCTGTCATTGTCTGAGATTTGTTCCTCAGGCTCTGGAAAGCAATACAAACTCTCCTTAGGGACTTGCACCCTCCATGCCGGCTCCAAAAGACTTGCGTACACCACCACCGATTTGATTGTTCTTAGCATGGAAGGGGGCGGGTTGACGATCATGCCGTTGACATTCAACGATAGCAATCCCCCAACGGATACCTGAAGTCTTCCATCCAGCTTCGCATTACGAGCCTGACAGATTGTCATCTCAACCGCGGTCCGCCGCCTGCACACATTAAAAAATAAATAAAAAGTTAGCAATAACCGAAGCGGCAAATCGGCGATCCACAATAATTTTTCAGGCTGTCCGCTAATTCAGATCGTCCGTTCATTCGACTCAGCTGACTCCGTTGACTCGAGTCCATTGATTTACATGTGTTGATTCGAATCCATCGTTTTACATGTGTCGATTCGAGTTTGTAGAATTGAGGGTTCAGCATCACCATTATTTAATCCAGCATGTTAATGTTGATAGCATGATCTGCATCCGTACAAAGAACTACAAACTTTTTTTTTTTTTGTTTAGCTTGCCAACAAACTTGCCCTCGATAAGTTGACAGACAATTTTTTTTTTTGTTTTTCAAGTTCTGCACGATGCCACGATCCGCATTCCTGGACAGCTAACCAATGACAAGGACAGGTTCAATTTTGTTGTTTCTTTTTTTTTTCTTTTGAAGGACAGGTTCTGAGCCATGGTGATAAACGCGCAACAACAATGAAAATGGACAATGACAGGGGAAAATAAAATAAAATGGATTCAATGGACATTGCGCATACAGGTAACCAGATGCGAGGACGGCCGAAGATGAGACGGTCAACCGAAGGCTAACAGAACTAGATGGCATCACACCGCGGTGACAGAGAACCGACGGATCTTGCCTGGCTGATATAGCTTCTTTTTCCTTTTTTTTCCCCCCCCAAGACAGGGCCTTACGGTACGGTCCTAGCTCCATATGGGGAGCATCAGTCCGGTTCCTTTTCCATCAGCAAGTGAGAACACAGAATACAACAGTATACGACGCACACACGCTTCCTTCCGTCTGGCCGAAGGAGCCCTGCACGGCATCGATTGCTCCACGGGGTAGAGGATCGACTGTCAGCTTGCCTTTGTAGTCAAAGTCCTCTCAGCTAGGGTGTACCCTGGCTGTCGGGTCTACATAAAGCTAGACTCTGAGGGAGACCAAACCCTGTCCAAGCTCCATTGCTCATTGTTGCAGGGGCTGATAGAGCTTTAAGCCAGGAAGAAAACACAACAAACAGACAACGCATGCATACACATGCACAAACACTGCAAGGTGAGATCATGTGAGCCCAAACTAAGACTAGATCCTGCCTGAAAGACACGTTAAGAACTCGTCTGAGAGATCTTAAATATGAGATGATGACGAGGAAACGTATGCAACAGACTTCATGAATGTGTGTTTTGAGGAAGCCAACTTAATGACTATGCTGTTTTCAGTTCATGGCAGAGAAGAGGAAAAGAGAGAGAGAGAGAGAGAGAGAGAGAGAGAGAGAGAGAGAGAGAGAGAGAGAGAGAGAGAGAGAGAGAGAGAGNAGAGAGAGAGAGAGAGAGAGAGAGAGAGAGAGAGAGAGAGAGAGAGAGAGAGAGTTTCGGAAAAGAAGAGGAATAACAAGACAGTATGAGTGCCATTTCGAACAATATTCATGCCTGAAATGAGACCAACGGCAGCACAGCATTAACAGCCCGCCTTGTTACCTTAACACTGTGCCAATACCAAGAGGCAAACAGGAGACGGGATGTGGTGGAAATAGCTGTGGATATGGCTCCCGATTTCACAAACCTCTTTAATGCCCGTGTATTATTTGAAGTTTTTGAACACTGGGCGCAGTTACAAGCAGGCAATTCTTCCCACCATTACACAGAACCACGGCGGCAATGGGAGCAGACCTACAGCAGCTCCTGGGCCACCCAGAAATATAGGCTGCCTGCAACAATCTGAGCTTTTTTAAACGTAAAAAGAAAAAACAGACAAGATCTGTGCGAACTGACTGATTCTGACACTTAACTTCGATTAGCAGACATACGTTTTCAACCTTTGTATAAACTTCCCCCCCAAAAAAAACAAAAAAAATTGTTTTAGGAATCTCAGCGTAGCCCATGGCGAGGTCAGGAGATGACACGACATCCGTACCCATACCTCAAGGTGAAGAAAGCCTTCGGAAGATGCCAGGAAGACTGGAACCATCTGGCAATTGCCTTCTTAAGTAGTCTGAGCTTATGTGATCCTTTGTCCCTCGGATGCCTGAGCTCACCACTACCAGCTTCCGCGTTGAGGTCATCTGCATTTCTAATCTCACTAACCGTCTCATAGCATAGATTCAGAATCTCATCCTGCGGTTGGCAGTCTATTCCAGCACAGCTTTCTTTTCTGCCCTCTTCGTCTTCAGCGCCCTCTTCGCCGCCAATGCCATTTGCATCGCAAACTGTTCTTCGAACTTTGCCCCTACCGCAGAGCATCTCCTCGAGACGATTCAACCTGGCCGTCAAATCAACAGCGGCAAACACGACTCCTTCATCGATTATCAACGAGTTTTCGGACTCTGCCAAGCGTAATCTCGCCTGTTTGACGCCAATGTCCTCCGTACACTGATCGGCTGCATTTGTGGATTGCAAACGGCAAGCGATATCAGCGCGACTATGTTGTTGCTCTTTCTCCCTCGCACTCTGATCGCTCATCGAATCATGTGCAACGTCCTGTCGTCGACGCGCGACTCTGCTGCTGCAGTTCGTGTCTGCCAGCACAATCTCGGACGCTGGGATTTCCGAGAACACTGACAGGATGAGGAAGCAGATCAGCGAGCAACCCAACGATGCTCTTGCCATGTCCGCAATACTTGTATCATCAATTGCTGCAAACGACCGCGCAATGTCGTCGAACTGCACAGCAACAGCTGCCAAGCGACTGGCCAGGTTGGCCGCCAGACGCCGGGCGGCGAGAAGATGAGGCTCGTCGCCGCATTTCGAATCTTGCAATTTGCCCTCCTCTCCTCCCTTCACCCGTTCTAGGGAAGGCGTGAAAATACTGAGCGCACTGACAACATCAAAGATGCACTGCACTGCTCGCACACGCAGCCGGACCAACCAGTGGGCATACTCGAAACACGCAGGCGCCGTCATCCCATCTGCCATCGCACTCAGCGTGACAAGGGCGGCCTCGAGATTTGCAAGGCCCTTAGACGCCTGTGGAGGAAGAACATCATCCTCGCCGTTCTTCGTATCCGAAACACCGATAGTAGTCTTGTCCTCACACATTTTGTCACCATGAATATGACCCTCGCACGCGTCTACCTTCTCCTCCTTGTCGTCAACTTGACCACACCTGCCATTCCCTTTCTCCCTGTGATCAGCAAGCAGTTTCTCTCCCATTGCAACCTGCGCAAGCGCATGGAGCCACAGGTAGAATTTATCGAGTGTGACCTTCTTCTCCAAACTCTCAAAAGTAGACAGTGCAAGGTCCCACATCCCCGCCTGCGCACCCATCATCCCAAGCTGGTATGCCTTCCAACACTCCTTGTGCGCAATCAGCCCCTTCGCAGCTCTGTTGAGCCTCCTGCTCCAACGGCGCTTTGCCGCCGATCCGTCTTTTCTTTTCTCGTCACAAATTATCGTCCTCGCGCTTCGGGCTACATCTTGTCTGAAAGAGCGCATCAAAATTGCAAACACGACAGGAGCTACTGCGGCAATCAAGTCACACGCAACAGAACCCTTGCTCAAGTCTGCATTTCCCTTGTCCTCTTCCATTGGCCTCAGCAACAGATCGCACTTGCCAGTCCTTTCTTCTGTGTCCACATCGTTCACAACAGACTCTATGTCGGAGATTAGTTTTGTTGCGATCGCTGCCGGCAGTGGCAATCCTACACAAGCAACCATGCATCGGCATAATATCCGAATGCCTTCCATACAAGCAACTTCATCGATGCACTTCCTCTTCCATCTGTCTTCTCCAGCTTTGTTGAGAGTCGCCATATCTGCAGCTTCTTCGGGGATCGTCCGCTGCAATTCCGAGACAGATGACGATGTAGAGTTCATGCAACCTTCACCGATCTCAGACTTAGGCGAGCATCTCTTGACGAGGGAGCGCACCTGCCCACAAAAGCAGTCCACAACCTCCAGCAACGCAATACCGCAGACCCCATCATGAGTTGCGTCCTCATCATCACATAATGCACAGAGAACTGTCAATAGCTGTCCCCACAACAACTTTACCGGTGCCTTAGCTCTCAATCGAACCTGCGCACAGACTCTTGCCTTGGCTTCCGATCCCAGTGCGCCTGTCGGCGATCTCCTTCCCACTGCTTGCCTGCCGCTCGCAAATCTCCTCACATGCTTGGCGATCGCGACTTCTACAGCTTCCAGAACCTCAAGACCCGACCGTTCCATCAGCACCACGACAACGCGGATCGCGAGATCTTCAAGGCAAATGTTGGCACGATCCCCACCATTCATCTCCGCACTGCGACCAAACAGCTCGTCAAAATGTTGCGAACTTTGTACATTCTGCCGAACAGGGCAACATGATGGATCCGCAGTGTGGCAACCGTTCATCAAGCTGGCAGCATGCCGCAGACCAAGGCGCACCGGATCATCCGTTTCAACCTCCATCGAATCGGGAGCCGCTTCATTGGGAGAAGGCTCCTCCAAGGTGCAGGTCCACTCCATTGGCCTGCTGCTGTTCTCAGGACCGCACCTGCTAGCCACGCATGTCAGACTGACAAGAAGTCTTACCGCAGCTTCTGTTCGGTCCCAGTCGCGCTCGAGAACCATGCATTCAAGGAGCGGTAGCAACTCCTCCCAACTCAGCAGCTTGACAGCCATACTGCAACTCTTGGACAGCTGTTGATGACATCCAATAAACACAGATTTTTACAGACTGAGATGACATTACTCGCCAACTGGCCGTGACCACTGAACAGACGAGGCTTCGATGAACGATGCAGAGGAAAGTTGTTCTTTTTTTCTTTCAGATGGTAAAATCTCAACAATGAGAGACAATCGACCACCAGCTCAAAGGCCTATGAAGCGGAGAATGTGCACCCGCAAATTTGGTCATGGTTTCTCTTTTCCCAATGAGAGCAACAGCGATGTACACGTGGTTCTGTTAGTGGGCATGGCGCCTGCACTCTCCGGCTTGATACCACAAAAAAGACAAAAAGGCAATCTCAGGAGAGGAAAAAATCAACCATTTCTGCCCGTGAGTCATCCTTGCAAGTGAAGCAATGTCATGTCATTGGATCAGTACCTCTGGGCCTCAGCCCTCCTCAGTGCAAGCATGGACCCTAACCGGCGAACTCAGCCTCAAGAGCCAAGTATCGCAACCACTACAGCCAGGACACTGTGTTCTAAAAAGCGGAACCATACCGGCCGTGATATCCGCCCCACCCTGCAAGCCTGTAGTGTCCACACTCAACAACACCACACACCACACACCACACACCACACGCAACACCACACGGACGCTGGCAATCACTGCCAGCTCATGGGAGCTTCAATGTCACTGGATCAGTACCTCTCCTCTGTTCCGTCCCAGTTTTATTGCACTCCATCGTAACTTTTTAGTGCCTAACATTTGCATAACTCTCTCTCTCTCTCTCTCTCTCTCTCTCTCTCTCTCTCTCTCTC